GATCCTGCTGCTCCTGTGTCTTGTGCAGCTGCAAGGATGAACTGACAGGTACCCGGAGAAGAGCAATGAAGCCATAAACCAGGGATCTGGCATGCAACAGGCTGTGGTAACTTAGTTGTAGATGGCGATGCCTGCAAAAGACAACATTGGATTTATGGGATTGCATTCTCTTCAGATGTCAGACTTATTCTTTATATGGAACAATATCTCCACTGAATTTCACTGAATTTCACTGAATTTTTAGAGTTGGAAGGGACCACAGAGATCATCTAGCCCAACTCCCCTGCTGAAGCAGGATTGCCCAGAGCTTGTCAGAGCAGGTTACTCAGGAGCATCCAGGTGGGGCTTGAAAATCTCCAGAGAAGGGGACTCCACACCCTCCCTGGGCAGCCTCTTCCAGGGCTCTGCCACCCTCACCGTGAAAAATTTCTTCCTCATATTTGAGTGGAACCTCTTATGTTCCAACTTGTGCCCGTTGCCCCTCGTCCTCTCACTGGGAACCACTGAAAAGAGTCTGGCTCCCTCCTCCTTCAACCCTCCCTTGAGATACTTGTAGGCATTAATAAGGTCTCCCCTCAGCCTTCTCTTCTCCAGACTAAAGAGTCCCAGCTCTCTCAGCCTCTCCTCATAAGGGAGATGCTCCAACCCTTGAATCATCTTCGTTTCCCTTCGCTGGACTCTTTCCAGTGGTTCCCTGTCTCTCTGGAACTGGGGAGCCCAGAACTGGACACAGGATTCCAGTTGTGGCCTCCCCAGTGCAGAGCAGTGGTTCAGGTCCCTGGTCCAGGGCTAGAGCTCAGGGTAGCAGCACACAGGAATGGGATCTGACTGTTGGGAAAAGGAGGCTTGTGCCTTGACTAAATTGTAATGCAAGGTCATTCCTATGACTTAATGTGTACTTTATGTTGCTGTTTCACATCTTACTGTCACACTGAGAACTACGTGGAAAAAGTACACTTACCTTAGGGTAACTGCACCATTTCACCTTTTCTTCGGTATTTGACTTTCTCTCTTTGACCTCTGGAGGCCCATGCCTCAGCTGAGGCTGCCCTACTCCTTTTCTTCTGCAGATAATACTCTATATTCTGTAAAGAACATTTGTGAACAGTGAGCAGGTTTAAAGATCTAAGTTGTGTTAATAATAAAGATTTTAACAAAATATTGCCTTAATCAAGATAAAGTATGTTACGCAACAAGCTGTGGTAACTTAGTTATAGATGGTGATGCCTGCAAAAAACAACATTGGATTTATGGGATTGCATTCTCTTCAGATGTCAGACTTATTCTTTATATGGAACAATATCTCCACTGAATTTCACTGAATTTCACTGAATTTTTAGAGTTGGAAGGGACCATAGAGATCATCTAGTCCAACTCCCCTGCTGAAGCAGGATTGCCCAGAGCTTGTCAGAGCATGTTACTCAGGAGCATCCAGGTGGGGCTTGAAAATCTCCAGAGAAGGGGACTCCACACCCTCCCTGGGCAGCCTCTTCCAGGGCTCTGCCACCCTCACCGTGAAAAATTTCTTCCTCATATTTGAGTGGAACCTCTTATGTTCCAACTTGTGCCCGTTGCCCCTCGTCCTCTCACTGGGAACCACTGAAAAGAGTCTGGCTCCCTCCTCCTTCAACCCTCCCTTGAGATACTTGTAGGCATTAATAAGGTCTCCCCTCAGCCTTCTCTTCTCCAGACTAAAGAGTCCCAGCTCTCTCAGCCTTTCCTCATAAGGGAGATGCTCCAACCCTTGAATCATCTTCGTTGCCCTTCGCTGGACTCTTTCCAGTGGTTCCCTGTCTCTCTGGAACTGGGGAGCCCAGAACTGGACACAGGATTCCAGTTGTGGCCTCCCCAGTGCAGAGCAGTGGTTCAGGTCCCTGGTCCAGGGCTAGAGCTCAGGGTAGCAGCACACAGGAATGGGATCTGACTGTTGGGAAAAGGAGGCTTGTGCCTTGACTAAATTGTAATGCAAGGTCATTCCTATGACTTAATGTGTACTTTATGTTGCTGTTTCACATCTTACTGTCACACTGAGAACTACGTGGAAAAAGTACACTTACCTTAGGGTAACTGCACCATTTCACCTTTTCTTCGGTATTTGACTTTCTCTCTTTGACCTCTGGAGGCCCATGCCTCAGCTGAGGCTGCCCTACTCCTTTTCTTCTGCAGATAATACTCTATATTCTGTAAAGAACATTTGTGAACAGTGAGCAGGTTTAAAGATCTAAGTTGTGTTAATAATAAAGATTTTAACAAAATATTGCCTTAATCAAGATAAAGTATGTTATTACCGAAAGCTAGATCTGGTGAGCTTTTGTAGGTTTTGGAACTGGAATGGTAATTCAAAACTAGTAATTTTGTATTACAGAGTATTTTCATATAGTTTCTTCCATGGTCTATTTTTCCAATTATAATTATGTGCAATTGACATTTTGCCCCCGTTCGTAGGTCACTTCCCTGCCTCTGCCTTGGGATGGTGGTGGACTCCAGGCACACATCCCCCCGTCAGTTAAACTTGTTATTTTCCTGCAGTTTTATTTCCTTCACGTTTCTTGAGGGCAATCCCTCCCAGCCCTCTAACACCTCCACCAAGGAGCAATGACACAAGCTCGTTTGAGTCGCTCTGTTTCAACCCAGAAGTTGTTTGTCTTTATCATAAAAGATGGAATGAGCTGTGGAGGGGACAACGCTGCTTCTTAACGTTTCAGAGCATGTGCCCAGGCATCTACGTGAGAAAAGTTGAAACTTTCCAGGAGTCTTGAAGTCTGGGTTATCACAATCTCAGCTTGCTCTGCTCTTAGATTTTTTTGCTATTTCTAATCCACACTAAGCACAGCTGGTGGCCATTATTGCATCGATCTTCATTTTGGTTTGTGTCTTACCCCCTTAGCAGCAGCTCGTGGGTTGTGCTCAGCAGCATGGCAGGGACTGGGTTAGCCTGGGGGAGGTTGTGGATGGGTTAGTTTTTCCCCTGTAATGTGCAGAGATGCTACCATATGTGGAAAAACATATTATTCTAAAATGTAAATAAATGCAGCTGTTTTGAAGAAACAAAGGTGGCAATTCCGAGTTCAAACTCCTCATTGTTTCTGCCCTATGATTCTGCCTATATGATTCTTTATTGGTTTTGACTGCAAGACAAAGAATAAGAAGAAATCCAAGATAAAAATAATTACGTTTCAACTGACTTGTATTATTAATACCTGGTTTATCTATTTTTCTTACATGAGATGAGCATTATAGTCATTTTACTTATAGGGTTGAGCACTTCAGTTTAAATTTGGAAAGCCTGGATTTACCACTATTATTGGTGACAAGAAAAATAAAAAAGCAGGATGCTGCAAGAGTTGAACTGACTCTAGAATTTCTGTCTCTTTAATATTTGTTTAAAAATTATGTTTGTATCAGAAATTAACATAACATTAAAATTAGAGATGATTAGGTGAACTGTTATGCTGGTTATGAAAAATTCAAAAATAGCTTCAGGCATACATAGTAAGCAGCTACATAATATTAATGTAAAGTATTTTACTATTGTTAAAAATTAAAATGCATTCCAAATGTTATTTAAGCTCCTAGGAAAAAAGTATCAAAATCTTAAGTTTTTAGTTATTGGTTTTGAAATGAAATGTTACCTCCACAGACAGGTATTTTCAGAGCATTTGGCTGATCTCAGAGAAAGTACTGTACAAAAAATATTACCAAGCTTGAGGAGAAATACCAGTGTTTGTATTACCCTTTGTCTTCTCCCTCTGCACTTAATGTGAAATTATTATTAATTGTGAGAAACAGTCACAAAGCAGTGATATGCAGCTCCTACTAATTTTTTTTTTTCCTCAGATACTGTATCGTTTTCACTTAAACTCTGCTTGGCTAGGAATAGCTAGGAGACACAGGTTAGAGTGATTTTACAATTCTTTGAAAGTTTATGATAATCTTGTGGTACTTCAGTTTTCTCATGTTGACAATGAATGACAGGATCATGGCAATCAGTGAGAACACGTTCCTCTTGCCATGAGAGTGAAGCCCTGTCCAGCCAGAAGGGATCAGGCCTTCAGTAAGGCCACACACAAAATTAGAAGATAACTTTTTTTTTTGAGAGAGCTTTCTTTGCATTCACACACACACAGACAATTACGAAATCTGCTTTTTGTTCTCATGTTCTGTATTTCACATCTCACATTCCCCTTCGCTTGTGGACGAGACTATTCGGGAGCAGCGAGCCACCCCCTTCTAGCAAAGTATGAGTATGAAATTGTGTCAGTAGCCAACAATGACATCTAGTCCAACTTGGGTAAAAACCATCACTAAACCATATTTATTTAATATTTGTGCAAGAGCAAAGCAAACCTTGCTTCTTACAACCATTGCATTTGAGGAGGCAGGAGTGTAAGCGTGCCATAACCTTCCTGCCCTGGCACACTGCTGGTTTTTGGTTGGAACTGCACTCCAAGAAAAGCTAAATGATTGTCTGTGTGCTTACAAATGTATAAAATACTGGAAGAAATGGAATTATGGTGGTGATGCATGGATGTAGTTCTGAAATTGTACGCAAGCACAAGTAACCATCAATCTGTTCATGCAACAGTTTTTAGATGTATTGAGCCTACTTACTGCAAATGTTAAATGTACTGGTGTTACCTTAAAATAAGTGTATTTTAAATCACTGTGTCTGAGCTGACACAGCTGTGTTTGTTTTCTTACTGTTGTGGTCAAATGACTTCAGAAAATACATATTTTGGAATATATTCCCTCTGTTGTTGAAGTCAAGCCTGGTACTTGAAGGGTAGGTGGTGGAATATATTCAAAGGCATTAGTTATAAATCAAACCAATTCTTTCTCTAGAAAGCTTTGATTTATGAATGTTAAATTAACTTTTCCAAACTTGCTGTAATTTATCTCAAATATGGGAATTTTCAAAAAAGGAAAGTGAAATGTAGTCACACACTGTGCACTCAAGGTAAAATTTTGATGCGGTATTAATCAATAACAATGTCTTCTAGGAGGATGGGGATGTAATTCCTGAGATACATTTGGAGCAGCTCTTATTGTCCTGGCTGACAGAGGGACCAGAAAAAAAGGTAAGAAAAGCTTTCTTTTAACAGGAAAGCTTTTAATTCTATTTTTTTTCTCCTGTCGCTTAATAATAATAAAATGCACGTTAGGAGTTTAGATGGAGACCTATTGAACAGATAGAATAGATAAAGATTTTACAACGTAACTGTTATTATATAATACTAAAGAAAGATAGTATAATAGTGTATTAAGATAGGAGCCTCCAGAGGTATAAAAAGATGTGTTGTTTCTTCTGCATGTACAAAAAATAGTTCTACGCTCTGGGATGGATTTATTATTCTTCATTGATTGCCTCATTCCGTTGGAGGACATTTCTGGCAGTAAAGTAGTAGACCTGTCACATCTATCATGATGTGTCGGAGATCTGTCAGGTCTATGGCTCTTTTTGAACTTTGCTGTTTCAGAAAAATGTAGCTGAGCATTATAGGCAGAAGTTTGACATTTTCAAGATGAAAATCAATCTTCTTTTATGTGGTGTTTCTCAAATAAGGCTCGCGCTTTGATTGCACAAGCAGTGGTTTCACGTGTTTGGGGGTACAACGTGGACACAGAATAATTTGGGTGACAGATCTGACAGATGCTCTGTAATGTATATAAATTGAAGAAATGATATAAGGGGTACTCAAGGCAGATGGCAAATCAGACACCGATCTGCTGTTTTCACATCTAAACCCGAAGGTATGAGCTTGTATTTGCTGTTTAAAGTTGGGGACTAACGAGGTAAACACAGTCTGCGGTGAATTATCATGCTGTGTTTAGAGGGAAGGAAAAGAAGTGAATAAGAGCTGTTAAAGTCAATTGCTAGAAGTATGATAAACAATGGGTTGTCTTAAAGGTATAGGAGGAGAGGTCAGACGGAGTGCTGTTTGGTTTAAAAACTAATGTAAAAAATATTTAATTTTAAAATACATTGGAACAAAGGAAACCCTTGTGTCAACACAGGTCCTTCCTCGAGCTGGCCAGCATCTGGGCTTTTACCTCTGCATTTGGGAGTTGCTGGAGACAAACCCCCCCTGAGGTGGTTGCACGCTAACTTAGAATTAGCAGAATCCTGAGAAGGGCAGCGAGGAGCCATAAACAGCCAGACAAGCACAAATAGTTGACAGGAAAATATTTTTATGTTGGGTTGCTGCCCAGGAAAGATGTTTGGAAATAACAAAGCTGTGCCTCTTGTTTTATTATTAGTTGTGTTCAAGGAAACAGAAAAATAACTAAGTGAAAAAATGTTTAGATACTTCGTTTTCCCCTTCCAATAGAAAGAATCATCGAAATCCCCAAGTAGTAGCCATTTTTGTGTAAGTGTAACTCTTCTGGAGGAAGAATTGCCTCGATATTTGTATGTCTGTGTTGATGCTTTTGGTGCATTTTTGATTTTAATAGAACTGTACCTTTGGTATGGACACATAGCGCAGTTAAAAGAATATTAAGATGGCCAAGTAGTATTAAAAATAATGACAGAAAAAGTAAAAGTAACGAAAGCAGAGTTGGGATTTACTGTAACCAGTCATAGGTGCAGGCATGAATTGAGTGATTTTTCTCAGTTTGTACTATATAAATAAATGTAAAGAAACTCTATATGAACGTAGCACTGAAATGTGTGATACAGTATTCTGCATTTTTAATGAGATTTTTTTAATCCACCCTGAGTAAAGGCAATAATTTTCACAAAACATTTCTTTCGTGTCAAATGTCAAGACCATTCTGTGGACCTGTTGGCATATATCTATGCTGATTTTACACTGAGAAATATGGTTTTACCTACCTACATAGCTCACAAAGTTAGAGAGGTTTTTTAAAAATATTTAAAAAAAAAAAAAAACAGTTCAAAATAATTGGTCATTCTGAAAGATATATATTTATTGAAATGTGTTATATTGAGGAAATGTAAGACATAATGGAGGCTTGCTTGATTAGTTCTTCAAAAACCTTAGGAAACTGTTTTGGCACCGTCTGTTGTACATTATCTGGTATTACTATTGTTTTAACAGGAGTTTTAAATTGGGAGTTTTCAGCCTGGTAGTTTTTCATTTTAGTCACTAGAATACTCACTAATTTTCCAGACATATGATAATGTGTCAGCCACAAAATACCGACTCCATTTTATTAAGGAGTTTAGCAATGCATGAAATGCATAATTAGAGAAGGAATGGTTTTAACCTTTTAACAATTGTTTCATTCAGGACAACACCAAAACTCCTTAGAGTACGTGGATAGTCTTAAGTTTAAATAAGGTGACATCTAAGTTGGACTGATGATATCTCGTCCCTATAATTACTACTAAAACTAAGTTGGAGAAAGAGATATTAGCTATTTCCAAGCTAAAGGCACTGAGAGAAAAAAATCCATTCCCTTCCAGAGTCGACACCATTAACACAGATTGCTTTTAGCCCATTAAGCCTCGTCACTGAGATGTTCTAAACAAATGTTTGTTTCTAAAAGCTGTGGAAGCTAAAGAATTAAAAGCCACCTTGGTTTTAAAAGCGTGTTTTCCGAGCCTTAATAAAATGATACTTTGTCTTAATTTTGTGTCTCCAGTCATGCAGGAAATTAGAGGACTAGCTTCTTCCTGCAGAACTTTTGGGTTTTCAAGCTTCAGGCTCAATTTGACAGACTATATTGCTCAAATTAGCTTGTAAATTAATTATTTGTTTCTAAAGTACAACTGATATCAACTTGCCTACAAATAGTTAGAATATGAACATATTTTTCATTTGCTTATGTAATTATATGATGGTTGCTCTTGTCAAGATGCATATTTGCTCAGAAGCTTAATATTAATTTATATTCCTGAGTTTCTCAGACTGCAATGTGTCATTGTTAAGTATAATTTAGAATGGCCTTTTTTCTCTCCTCTTATCCTGTAAGTTGTTAGCTTGAGCTTATTGTGGGCTAGAATGATCTCAAAACTCATAAAGTCATAGAAGAGTTTGGGTTGGAAGGAACCTTTAGGAGTCATCACGTCCAACCTCCCCTGCCATGAGCAGGGACATCACCGAGATGAGGTTGCTCAGGGCCTCGTCCAACCTGACCTGGAATGTTTCCAGGGATGGGGGATCCACCACCTCTCCGGATGCCTGTTCCAGTGTTTTGCCACCCTCCCTGTAAAAAATTTCTGCCTTATATCTAGTCTGAATCTCCTGTCTTTTAGTCTAAAACCATTACCCCTCATCCTGTTGCAGCGGGCCCTGCTAAAAAGCTTTTCCCCATCTTTCTTGTAGGCCCCACTAAGTACTGAAAGGCTGTCTGACCCTTGTGCACGTACAGTGACAGTGGCATCTCTCTGTATGGAGAGGATGATATTAAAATGTCTGATTTCTGTTTCGTTATCTAACTGGTATGAAATGACATTTTCAAGCAAGGCCTGCATACTGGTGGCACAAGAGAGGTTTTTATGGGATTCCAGCTTTGAAGGGAATCTTCTACTACTCTTCAGGGTCATCTGCTGGTCCAGCCTGAAGCTGGGCTGGGAGAAGGAGTCACCTTAAGCACACAAATTGACTTTGAAATGAGGCATGAAATGGTCTGTCAGACTTGAGAGGTGGCTGCTCTCTGTTGCACCCACAGACCCATGCCTTGAGGAAAAATACATATAGGAGATCATATGGTTTGACAGGTGTTAAAGTCATTTTGCAATGCTAGCCTTCACATGTTGCAATAAAAGCATCAGAATTATTAAGATTTGTATATATTGTGTGTCCTGTGATGCTTCAGCTTTTCCTGATGCTGAAGAAGGTGAACATGGATACTCTAATTACCTGCGTACGTAATGCCCTTGAGATGCTGGGTGGTGGGTGCTGTGCTGACACCCCGAAGTCAGAGCTTTGACGGGATCTGCCTAGGCCTTCTCATTGAAGTGAGTTTCTCAAAGATGACTGAAATACTTTTAAATACAACATAGAGCCAGGTTTTGATAGAATAAAAACCAGAATGCATAGCTTTTTAGTAACAGCAAAGAAATACGGAGGATTTGTAAGCATCTTACCTCATACTGCACTTCACCTTGTTAATGGGTCTTTGATTTCAGCCAAGACAATAACTTGCTGAGACAATGGCAAACCTTTTTCAGTCCTTGCTGATTCCTAGGTTTTGTTCCTTTGCCTGCACTGGGGGAGCTTGGCTCCCTCTGCACCTCACTTCTCCTCAGCCTTTTTAAAGGAACGTAGCACAAGGATGAACAAGAAAACCAACCAAAAAACCCTTAAAAAAACCCACCAAAAAAACCCCCAACCAACCCAAAAAGCAGGGAGTGCCTAACACAGATGAAAAAAAAGGGGTAAAGACCAAGCAAGATTGGACGTGGTGCTGTTTAGACACTGCATCTTTAACAGAGGAAGCGGTAGGACTGGGTGTAGAATTGGTATTCAGGTAGTCTCTTCCCTTCTCTATTCTACTGGCCAACAGTATTTCCTCAACCCCCAGTGTAAACACCTTATCCTGGGTTTATAAAAGTCTCTTGATGTGACTGAAGTCCATGACAGCTTTGCTGACGTTGGTGCATTAAGACCCATTGCTTTTCAGAGCAGTAGCTGGTCCTGAGCTAAGCCCATCTGACATTGATTATTAACATTAGTAGATGCTGGACTATAAGAATACATTACAGAGCAACTACATTTTAGTTGTAAAGTGTGTATTTGCATTCCAGATCAGTCCAATGAACTATCTGTAGAGACACAGGAAAGCTATGCAGGTCTCCATTGCAGTCTGTGCCATAAAACCTCTCCTCAGTTTGCTGCATCATAATTAGCCAGTTCAAAGGAGGCTGCCATTAAGATGATGGGTTTAACATGTAGTAAATAAATGCACAAACCTGTTCTACATCTTCTGTTCATTTTGATACCAGAACTAAAACAGTGATGGTGAAAATTGATTTCAGCTTTTTATTAGTAAATTAATTGGAATATTCTGAACATAGTTCATCTCAATTTCCTGTGTAGTTTGTTGTGAACATTACGGGTTGTTTGAGAGATCGTTTGCATGATGTGGAAATTAATGTTTGGCCTGTTTT